TACATCCAACCCAAAATTGGTTGTCGTCCAGCTAATAAAACCCGTTGTCAAACCTGCAAGTTCATAAAAACCACTGACTCATTTTCTGACAAGTATAATCAAAGAAACTTTAAAGTATCCAAAGAAATCACTTGTGCGACAAAAAACACCATTTACATTATACAGTGTAAAAAATGCAATTACCAATATGTAGGACATACAGAAACAACTCTTAGAGAATGTTTCAACAACTATAAATATTCTATTAACACCAAAAATGATCTTCCTGTTGCTCAACACTTTAACCAGCCTGGTCATTCCACTGACAATGTTGCTCTCATCGGCATCAAAACAGGATTCAAAACTAAAGCAGATAGAGAAATAAAAGAAGCTTATTGGATTGTTAATCTAAACACTGTTCAACCTTTCAGAATTAATCTAAATCCTGGAATCAGTGATCTCCGTTCATTGGTTTCATCTCTGTTTTTATTCTTTGCTTATATTTTTCATGTAATGTGAATTTATCTTAAATAAATAGTAAGTTTTAGGAAATTCAGCTTTTCCATACCTGTTTTTATAAATTGATTAGCGTAACATATCATTTTCAGTCAGTCTCCAGGTGTTACCTTTATTTTACTTAAACACTTAAGTGTAGTTTTAAATATACATATATATTTATCCATTTCTAAAGTAAAATATCCCTAACACCTATTCACATACACTCTCGCCATCGGCTACACTCTACCGGAAATGAGATGCTTACAACAGTACCTAGAGAAATAGACTAAACATTTCCTGGAGAACCGGATGACCTCCATGACGTCACTAAACTCTCTTTACATATATATCACTCATTCGATTACACCATCATTCTACTTTGCCCCTGAAAGAGAAAGGTCCACCTTTCGAAAGCGCTCGGGTTATAGGGTTTTTATTCATTTCTACCAAGCTTTCTTGAACATACCTGTTTTTCTAACAGCATGAATCATATTCAGTAATTCTGTTTTTTTGCCTGTCACCACATACCATGTAAACACCTGACCGAAAAATAAAAAGTGTGTAAAAATGTAACTTCAGTAGCAATTACAGTGGTTATTTTAGATACAGGTGTTCTTTGTTTTGTTAAACTTTTTAGAAAAAAATGCATTTAACTCTGATCAGATTCCTCAATAATCATCGGTTTAAGAAGAAAGGATTAAAATAACAAATGTTAAGTAATAAAATAGTTTGTAGGTTGTTGTTATTAAGCACAAAGCTACACAATGGGCTATCTGCGTTATGCCCACCACGGGTATCGAAACCCGGTTTGTAGCGTTATAAGCTTTCAAACTTGCCGTTGTACCACTGGGGTACGCTCGGTGGTACTTTGTAGCAACTACAATAGAACGAGTTCTTACATAATTCTTGTATGGAACATTACAAGAAAATGTGTCCAATTTCTATCGTCAGGACACCACTGTAAGAAACATCCTACATCTACTTTACCGAGAGTTGTGATTCTGTCAGAAGAAAAAAAAACAACAAGATTCTGATATTTACTTGATTACATTCGATGAAGTTTTTAACCGAGAATCTTTGAAACTTGTATATGTTTTCTGAGTTTAAACAAAGGACTCTATATACGAGTAAATATTGGCTGTTATCAAGTGATTATTGGAGATATACTGATAATCAAAGACTCACGTGATTCATCGTCGTTTTTACAGAATAAAGTTATTTATAAAAACCAGTTTTCCTATTAGGATAACCGAAGAGGGCAGCACATACACACACATTAGTCTACGCTCACCTCTTTTAGGAGAAAATAGACCCTGAAATCCAAATTGGTGTTCCTATTTTTGTTCGTGCAAATAACGCCACTTTAACGAATCGCCTTTCCCAAGGGACCCCCTACCAGAGTTTTAAGTTTCACTCAGAAGCACAAGAAATAAACCTATGAAGATCACAAACTTTCAACTTTTACGACTAGGAAATCAGCTATCTATGATTCACAAAAACGCACAACTCTATTCATTGTACATAATTTCAAAAATTTCTTACCAAAAGTAAGACTATAACAGAACATCACAAAATATCCAGTCCTTCATACTGAAAATGTTTCTATGTAAACTTTACCAGAACATAAAATCCCACCTTATGATATACTAGCTGCGTACTCATCGAACGCATAATAAAGATATTGGAGGCCCAAGGGAGCCAAATTTGAATTCCAAACTTCAATGTCACTTCCAAAGAGTCTAAGTTTATATGCCAAATTTTGCAACAATATATCCAGCGGTTTGTCAATTGTAAGCTACAACAAGGAGAAGATATTCCGATCCAGGAGGGTGACATAGAAAGATTAGAACCGAATTCCCCCCCCCTCCCCCACTCTTCCCGTCAGCCCAATGGGTACATGCTATTGTTTGGTGATAATCGATTCTACGTCTCATCAGCTATAAGCGGACATACAGACTTTTATCACATAAATGTTTAGGTGATAATTACAATAACTTTGACCAAAAGTAAGACCACAATCGAATTGTACATACGTTCATCTTCAATAGCTTAGAAGTTATCCATTTGTCTCTTCTGTCATTTAAAAAGTATATCCAATAAGTGATCTAATTTATTAGCGCGTGCATTTCTAAACTATTCCTTACGCTTGTAAGCCATTGCAACTTGTTTTCTTTTTTGTGAAAAATATTGTTTAGAAATACAGTTTATTTTTTATTATTTTATATACATTTTTTCGATATATCATGGACTCTCAAACTGTTCCACTACTCTCTCATATGCACTTCGATCTTTCTAACGGTGGCAGCTGACTTTAAATACACGTAGTTTTTAGGTGACGTCGAATTAGCAGGAACAAATGATATATACTGTAAATAAATTATTGCGTTGGTTGCTAACATTGTTCTCTGGGATATTCTTTCTTTTTCTTTTCTCAAAATAAATTTCAGAATATGTATGTATAGGTTTTGTTTTGGATATGGTTACCCTGTATGTCCAGTGCTTTAATTAGCCTTGTACCACCTTTGTATTATTCATATCTCCATCTCTTAAGCCTAAATACAAATGCCAAAATGTTGATATAAAGTCGTCTTAGTCAGCTTGCACATTTAAAAACACGGGATATTCTGAAAAGTTGCGTAAGAAATGTTTGATGGCTTATTTCCCTCGCTGTATTTTTCAGTTAAGAGTCTTATTCATTGGCTATAATTTGTACATGGAGAACCAGCTCCATTAAATGATTTACTTTTCAAATGTATATGAAATTCACTGCATGGAATAATTAATGAATAATTAGGATTTATAATATTTTAGATATGGTAAGTCAAACCACTGTTATAAAATAATTCCAATTTTCCCTCCCCAATTCATTTTTATACTACAAATCAGACATTCCATCGTTCGTCATGTGA